TTGCTGACTGAGCTGGCTGCAGTTAGACAGCCTAAACTAACATTAATACTTGTTACCAATACATGTTTTCCTGCTTGAAGTTTATTTTCATGCGAAGCAAAGTGAACAGAATTGCCAAAATACTGTGTTGCAGTATTGACTAGTTACAGCATAGTAGTATGAGGATTACAGAATTACTGTTAAAAACACTTGTTCCTTCCAAATAAGAACACACAGTGCAAAGGGGATCCCATGGTCAAAACAACAAAGAGCTTTCTCCAGCCCTGGTGCCTCACCTTTACATCTGTGAATATTGACACTAATCCATGTGTCACATTGAGCAGAACAGACAGGAAGCTTTGTGAGTTCTTATTCTGAGAGTCAAGTTTTTTCCTCCTGCGTGATCGATAGTTTGGATCAACAGTGGAATAATACTGTAGTGTTTCTTCCTCAGATCCACTCTCATCATCTAACAGATAAAATGAAAAACAACTCATTCTCTAGCTAGTACACATATTATGCCAATAACTCCTTGTTTTTTCATTTGTAGTGCAATTCAATTTCACACTTAGATTACTGTTTAATTGAGTATAATAAGTTTTTTCTTCTTGGTTTCAGTTTTCTCACAAATTTACAAAATCTTTCCACTAACAGCTTAATCACTTTAGCCAATTACATTTCTGAATCACCATAGTTCTAGATGATTAATTAAGTGTATTACCATATTGAACTGCAGATTTAAATTGACTAAAGCTGTCTTTACTGAAAGTGTTGATGAGCTGGCTGGCCACGGATAGTCCAACACCATAAGAAAGGTTTTCAAACGTTTCTACAGGAGATGGAGCTGTGGGTTCCCACAACAATAAGTCATTGCTGATCCTAGGAAGAAAAACATTATCATTACACAAAATATGTGCCTATATTCCCACTTTATATTAAGTCAGTCAAGCATATTTCCTTTGCAGACTTCATGTAACAGTTTCCATAAACAAGAAAGAGAAAAAAAGTTCAAGATCACAAAAAAGAATAATATATCCATGCGTAAAAGCAATAAATAATGAAAGTAACTGCACAAAAAGGAATAATATATCCATGAGTAAAAGCAATAAATAATGAAAGTAACTTTTATTCTCTAATTATGGTATGCACAAATCAAAGTCTAACATTTGACAGTGGAACAAAAGCCTCTACAGGAAGGTACATATTAGCTCAGTAGGTTGGAGAGGGGTGAAAAAACTCTGTTTTGATCACATCAATTTTCAGCCAAGTTGCAGGAAACATTAGTTCTTTTGCTTTCAGGTGAGTGTGTCTGTCAGGGTAAAGAAAGATGTGACAGTCATTCCAGCAAAATGTTCAATGGAAGGTTCAGCTTTGCCACCTTGGAAGTGGAAAATACTTTACTCTGGGAGTAAAGTAATACCTGTTACAGGCTAAAATAGGTCAGTACCTATTTTTCAGCTGATTTCATCTAGTAGCATTTTGTCATTTTTCAGACAGAAAACTAACAGAAATAAATGCTGAACACACATCTCTAAATTTGGTTTGCTTTCTCTACATTTTCATAAGCCTCTGTAAGGCTAACAAAACTGCGTTGTTAGAGATTTTTCCCCAACTGCCTTGTTAACTCTAGATTTTTAGATGGCAAGAATAAAATTGGGTTGTTAGAGTTTTTTCCCCAACTGCCTTGTTAACTCCAGATTTTTAGATGGCAAGAATAAAATTGAGTGCAACAGTTTTTGAAGTACAATGATCCATCTATAAAAGAGAAATCAGAAATAGAGCAAAATGAAACATGGCAAACAGAGAGCTGAACAAAGTATTCACTGCAAGCAAGAGACTTATTTAGCTTTACCCTTTGTTCACAAAATCTGCCAAACACTTCAGCAGATGGCTGTTATGGCACCAGTTGGATACATGACACAATGGTGTCTCTGAGGTTAACTTGGAAAAATATTTACATAGCATTTTAAGTTCTTAAATAAACTATACAAATGAGTTTCTGCTACACCTGCTCATTCAATTGCTTTATCAACAGTGAATACAGAACTCCAAGTACAGGTCAGGCTAACCATGCACAACAATTCTCATACTTGCCTGTTGTATAGTTTTTCATAAAAGCTTTTGTTTGGTAATGTTAAGTGAATGTTTGGTAACATGAGTTCCAGTACATAATGAGAATTGCTAATTGTTTTATCCTGAAACTCAGTCATTTCAACTACATCTCCTGGCATCACCATCTGAAAGAAAAATGAAAAAAAAAAAATTCTTAAGTTAAAAAAAACTGCCAAAAGTGGAAGCCAGATGATGCATATAAAGTAGTGAGAATGTATTAATTTCGTCTACCATAAGCACAAAGCAAGAACAAAATTTTATACTACCTCTTCATTTTCAAACATGACCCTACGAGAAGAAAAAGGAGAAGGCTCTGGTCTTCTAATATCACAGACATCCTTCAAAGAATGAGACCCTCCTTCTTCTTCCTCTTGAAAATTATTATCACCTTCTTCCTCCTCAGCTGCTATCCTTTCCAGAATAGAGTGCACAGCCAGAGGATTTATTTTCAATACAATCCTGACATTGGAGAAATTATGCAGAATAAGCCATTAGAGATGCTTATAAT